GATCAACTCAACTCCGCGTAGTAGGACGCTAGCATCTGGTGGGGAAATGCCCGTCTCTATGGCCCTTGCGAGGTTCCTCTTCCACCGCCTCAAAGCCGCAATGACTTCTGTGATGTTGTCCCCGCCCGCAGTGCCCTCAAGCTGCTTGAGGATCGTGGCGCATTCAGCTGTCCCTCCAGGAGAGTATAACACATGAAGCCTGAACATGATTCCCGCCACGGTTCCAACCCTGTGGGTCACTGCGTCCTCCTTGACCGCCTTAGGCATCGCTGTCAACAACATCGTCATAACTCGCCTTTCAAGGCGGCTCCACTTCGCGGCTGCAAGCTCTGCCGGGATCACGGGCGCAATGGATAGGCGCTCCAAAGGCGTTGCCAGCTGGTGTTTCTTGTAGGCCTCCTTCGCCAAAGCCACGGTGCTGGTAAACCACACAGTGGAGGAATCGGAAAGCGAACCAATGATCTGCTCGGCCACATACAGCCAGTTACTAAACTCCACACCATCTCCCGACAAGTCCGGGAGCTGCGGAAGCTCTACGCTCCCCTTCAACGCCTCCGCATCCGGAGACTTCTTGTCCAAGTAGACCTGCTGAAGCTGCTTCATACCTTGGAGCAACACATCCAAAGGAGAAAGTTCCGCATCGTCCCCTGGTCCTTTTGTCCCGTGCAGGTAGCTCTCGCTCGAAAGTCCCGGCAAAGGAGGGTTCAGCACACCCTCGCTCCGAAGCTCAGGATTGCTTCCAGCCATAGCTGCCCGACCCTGGGCTCTCCGATCACTGGACTCATCAGGAAGATCACAGCCCCCTGGTCCTCGAAGATTGCCGCCAGGTAGACGAGGAAGACCTTCAAGTCCGGGTGGAAGCCCGGCATGCACACGAGAGTCTTGATCTCTTCCTGCAGGATTTCCTTCGACTTCTCGACCGAACGGTTCCCGCGAGGCCCCTCGAAGACCATGACTAGGTGCGCTCCCACCTTGCTGCATCACTTCACTCAAAAGCTGAGCCGAAGTGTCCAAAGCCTTCTTCAGCTCATTGTTCTGACTTTTCAAGGCCAAGAGCTCAGAATCCCGTCCTTGCATAGCCGCCTGGACCTGCCGACGAACTTCCTCCATAATGACCTCCTGTCTCATGCTTCTGTCCGAGCTGTCGTCCCGCTGTGGCCCAGTCGCGGCCACGGGGGTCGTGAGCACCGTAGGCCTTGCAGTCCAGTTCGCCATGGCCTGCCTGGTCTCGTGCGTCATCAAGGAATCCTGTGCCGTCGTGCCTGTAGGGGAGTGGAAGGTTGGTGAAGAGGTAGGAGCCGACTGACGTTCATGCCCACTCACCGTCTCCAACACAGGAGCCACAAACCTCCTATGAAGGACTTCGCTGATCCTTGTCACTGACCACGCCCCTGTCTGTCTATCATCATCAGAGTATCCACGCGCCTGAGGAGATCCAGCCAAACTTTCATCCGTAGCAAAAACACTGCCCTCCGCCCTTGAACCCATTGGCTCATCAGCTCGCTGTCCATGTAGGGCTCTCTGAGCTCGGCTTTGCACGGCCTGGATCACCGCCGTCCTCTGTTGGGAAAGCTGTTGCACTGCATGTTGAAGCGGAGGTGGCAACCTATCACGCGCTGTCGAAGCTGCCGTAGGTTGCTGCAGAGTGCGTTGCCCACTAGGTGGAGCCATACTCGAAGATCAAAAGAAGTTTGGATGGACCCTTATCTTTGTAACCTAGTGTTTTGCCAGAGTCCAACGTGAGCAAGGGCCGCAACGGCAGAGCGAGACTTTCGGTTCTTGTGCCTCTGGCAAACGGCTGCGACACAGCATCAGGCCTCAACGGCAGAGCGAGGTTTTTCATTCGTGCAATGGCCCGAAGATTCGCAAGCATGTCGGACCCATTTCGGGTGATCTCGCTCCGGGCACGTTGCTTTCAGCACTCACGCCAGTCCACGCACCAGCTCCAACTGCAGCAGCGTCAGCCCCAACTCCAACGTCTGCAGCCACTCTAGCGGGTCTTCTGTCAGGCCAGACGCGGGCTGTTTTGGCAGAACCATAGATCCGCCAAGTAAGTACCACTCCGGCCGCGGAGCTTCAGCTGGTTCCTGCGGAACCACCCGCCGCTCCGGCCGCTCCACGAATGCTGCCACAAGGGCAAGATGCCTAAACAAGGTTCCAAACCATTTTTTCCGAGCCCACCTTCGGGGAAAAGGTTTGTAACCTTATTTCCGGTAGGCAACCGCTCCACCAGTGCCACCACAAGGGCAGGATGCCTAAGCAAGGTTCCAAACCATTTTTGTCCGAGCCCACCTTCGGGGAAAAGGTTTGTAACCTTATGTCCGGTAGGCGCATCGGGTTGCAAATCAAGCTTTGCAGGATGGCCACGTCCAAGCCCACGGCAATGAGGAAAAAAAACCAGGAGACTCATGCGCAAAGGCTCGCCGCCGGCTGCGGCAGGTGGCAGCCACCCACTGAAGTACCGCCCTGTCGGCGTGACAAGGCGCAGTCATTGCAGATCGCACGTAGTGATGAGGCCGACAATCGGAAGAAGTGGAACAGCGAAGAGAAAGATGCAAACAAGGACTATGTCACTATGTCCAAGAAGCAGAAAAACTCGGCTGGCAAGTATTACACAATGGACTCAGTGGCTTTGATTTTTTGACCAATGCAAGAAAAAGAGTGCATGGTTTCTGCCGAAGGCAAAACACAAGACCAGGAGGCATACGAATGTGGCGAAATTCTGCACCGACCACCACATTCGCGAAATCGTAGGCTAGACTCTAGCAAAACACTTGGTTACAAATATAAGGGTCCATCCAAACTTCTTTTGAGAAGAGGGTGCTTCCGCTGCTTCCGCAAATGTCTGCTGTAAGGCTGGCTGTTGCGGTGCTGACTGTTGTGGTGTTAGCTGCTGCGGTGCTGACTGTTGTGGTGCTAGCTGCTGTGATGCTGGCTGCCGCGGTGCTAACTGCTGCCGTTGCTCTTCGTCTCGTACGCTCGCGCCGGTTCCGGTTGTAATAACGGCCGATCCGGTTGGCTGCACGTCAGCACTTCTCGCTCGTCGCTGCCCATCACCAGACACCTCCAGCAAAGGACCATCTCCCTCACTCCCAGTAGGCCTGGAGCTCTGCTGCAGCACAGGAGCTCGTCCCAGAGGCAGCGTAGTTGAGCTTCCAGATCGTCGCGCTTCCTGAGGTGGAAGAAATCCATTCATAGCACCATAGTTAGGCCCAGCGGCCTCTCCCTCCAGCGTAGCTGCCCCTTCACTTGGGCGACTCATAACCTGTAAATCTTCCGGGCTTACAGCCTGTGGTCTTCACGATTGGGGTTGCAGAGGCAAGGGTTCAGAACATGGCTCGCCGGCACCGAATTCCTCTTTTCTCTCAACAAGCAAACACATGTGCTCTGACTCCATGCGGCCTGCAGGTGTACTTCGACACGCACTGCCTTGCATGTACATGCGACAAGTGACTTCAGAAGCTTCACGCCTGCACGCAAAAAGGCTTCATGGCACACTCACAGTAAACAGCCTTCAACATAGTACTAGTACTGGTACTTGTACTAGTACTTGTACTAGTAGTAGTAGTAGTAGTTGTAGTAGTAGTTGTAGTAGTGGTAGTAGTGGTAGTAGTAGTGGTAGTAGTAGTAGACGTAGTAGTAGTCGCAGTAGTAGTCGTACTGTAGTCGTAGTAGTAGTCGTAGTAGTAGCAGCAGCAGTAGTAGTAGTAGTAGTCGTCGTGGTAATCGCCGTAGTAGTCGTCGTAGTAGTAGTCGGTAGTAGTAGTCGTAAGTAGTAGTAGTAGTAGTAGTAGTAGTAGTAGTAGTTAGTAGTAGTAGTAGTAGTAGTAGTAGTAGTAGTAGTAGTAGTAGTAGTAGTAGTAGTAGTAGTAGTAGTAAGTAGTAGCAGAAGAAGTAGTGGTACTAGTAGTAGTAGTAGTAGTAGTAGTAGTAGTAGTAGTAGTAGTAGTAGTAGTAAGTTGTAGTAAGTAGTAGTAGGTAGTAGTAAGTAGTAGTAAGCAGTAGTAATAGTAGCAGAGCAGTAGCAGTAGCAGTAGCAGTAGCAGTAGCAGTAGCAGTAGCAGTCGGAGTAGGAGTAGGAGTAGGAGTAGGAGTAGTGGTACTGGTACTGGTACTGGTACTGGTACTGGTACTGGTTAGTAGTAGGAGGAGCAGTGGTCGCAGTGGTTGTCGTGGTCGCAGTGGTGTCGTAGTCGTCGTACGTAGTGTCCCGGGTAGCAGCCGGGGTGGGAGGGGGGTGGGGGGGAGGCGGTGGTGAGGGAGAGGGATTTGTGGGGGACAAAGCCTGAATAGTGCCTGAATGGCGGTGCGGGGGTGGTGGTCAACCCCCCCCCCTAGGCTTCATGCTTGCCCACCACCAGACTGAGAACTTTCATGAATAGAAGCTTCATAGGGTAACCAGAAATCAAACGTGCAAGTAGTGCCAAGTGCTCGTCATGGAAGCTGTGATCCCACAAGTGATCTGCCTTGTTTTGTTTTTGAGGAGTTCGGTATGTGATGCGAGCGTGGACTCTGCTGTATGGGTTGCTAGCCGATACCAGGCCTTGGGTACCGGCAAGGCCTGTGCCGGAAAGTTCAACATGCGTGCACCCCAGACAGTCCAGGGATGGGTGTCGCTGGCGACCCCTATTGCTTTCATTCAACCTTGCATGGTGCCTCCAGGAAGACGGCAAACGTGACCACCTTGCTCAAAACATCAACATCGGTCTAAGTTTTGGGAACAAACCATCCATCCCAGGACAAAGACGTGCGGGTTCGAGATGCCTGTGCAATGCTCGTGCCTTCCCCAAGCTGTAACATCAGTCCTTTGCTCGTGTCTGCGGCAGCATGTGCTCCAGGAGTTGCATCTCACATATTTCCTTTATCTGGAATTCCGTCAACCTTTCACGTTTCAGATCATGTGCCGTGACAACGTTCGAACGTTGGTTTTGAGCGATGCATCATGAATGTCAAACAACGCCTTGACACTGGTCTGTGCTTGTTTAGGATGAACTGAACTTATGCTGGCAAGTTTGAGGTTGAGTGAATGGGGCCAGTGGTGACCGCCTCGGCAAATCGTATAGAATCGGTTCGTTTGCCTTTTCCCGTTCACGGAGATATTGTCAGCGCATCTCAAGGACCCGCTGCAGCGCGACTTGCGGTGGTGGGGTCCGTGCCAGCTTGCCACGAGCTGAGCCGTCTACGCAGGATATGGACATGCTCAGCTGACCTTGGCGTCGAGCAAAGTATGCGAGCTGGGGCATGAAGAGTGACGCTGCAGCGGGTGATGTGGGTCAGGTTGGCTCCTGGACTGTGAAGCAAAAATCTTGCTTTCCCAAACAAAAAAAATGTCTTCTGCTGAAAGCTTTTCTGGGGCTGCCTAGGCGTCGCGTCGAAAAGGAAGCCGACTATGGCGGGCTGCCCTGTGTGGCTTCCTTGAGGCCTTGGCAGCCATCTTTTCTGTGCAGCTGCACTAGCGAGTTTCCGCAGGAAGACTGAGACTTGCAACATGCAGCCTTGCGAGCGCAGCCAAGACTGCGTGGTCTCTGAGTGGGGCCCTCAGGCTGAGGTAACCAGTAACTTGCAAGTACATTGCATCACGTTTGGTGGGGTCAGGTGGGGTCGGTGGCATGGCTGTGAGGTGGAAGGCCTGACCCTCGCTGTCTGCCCAAGTTCGATTGCCAAGCCAAGATTGCTTAAGACTTCAGGTGCCAGACAGATGACGAGACAGAGACGCATCGAGACCTATGCCGAGGCATAACTTTGCGGTTTCAGCCGGTGGTTTGCAGAAGATCTGACGAAGCATGGCCTCAGGGCGATGGAGATCCTTGCGATTCGCCCCTCACGGAAACTGCTGGCTGTGACGACCGGGACACCCTCCAGTGGCATCTCGATCTGAGAGACTATTGGAACACGATGCAAGTCACCTTCCGACTCCCTTGCCTCTTCCAGGAGGGATGTCCCTCAGAATTGTCACCAGTTGTGAACTTGTCTATGAAACAGAAGGACAAACAAAGCGAAGAAGAAGGCGTGCTCTTGCGAAGCGTTGCTTCGGCCTTGGAAGCCCAAGGTGTTCAACCACAGAGTGGAGCCAGTGGACTGCGTGCCCGGTTGCCTGTGGTGGCGGCCAGCAGCAGCGAGCAGGGTTCTCAAGATCTCTGCAGAGACTTTTAAACTTTATCCTCAAGCCTGTGGAACCTATACTCAGTCGCGACACCTCAGCGGCGAGTCGTCGTGCATTCCGCCAAGAACCCGGAGATTGCGGATTCCCGGCATCGGATGCCTGCTGGAATACAACCGAGGATGGCCAAGCAGGACCTCAAGGAAGTGCGGGGGTGCAACGTCGAGTCTTGCGAGGAGAATGAGGGTCGGAGCCTCTATACTGGGAACAGGATAACTTGATTTTCCAAAGAACTGAGCTCAGGCTGCATCTTGTCGCCTTGGACGCATTGGGGTCAATGCTCTCAAGACTGCGGCACTGGAGCTGGAGTCCTAAGCAAGAGATAGCGGACGTGGAAGTTGAGTGATTCCGATGGTGAGTGCAGAGGGACGGAGCAGCTTTTTGCAAGTGTTCGACACGTGTCTCGAGAACCGCGTGGCTTCGCTTGATCATGAGTAACCACGTGCGGCGAAAAGACGTGTTCTTGGTGAGGAGCCTCAAAATCAGCATCATTCTGCACTCTGGGAGTCCGTGAAAACAAAAACCCAAGCTGAGGTGTCGACAAGAAGCCGATCCATTGATCAGAGTGCTGGCGATGGAGGTCCACGGAATCCAACGTATGGGTCAATCTGTGGTCAGCCTCGCCGCTGAACGACCTTGAACATGAGCAACAAGATCGTGTTCATGGGTCGAAAAGAAGCTGAGCTATTCAGGGAAGTGTCTAGACGTGCCAATGAGCGTTGAAAGGTGTCCTCAGACGTCGACACTCAGAGAGGGTAAGCGATCAGAATCCTTCAAAACATCACGCGAAAGAACACATTGACAGATGGTTGAGGCCCAGTTATTGGCCTCAGGATTTGGGGTAGATAAGTGCAACATGGCCCGAAATGTCATGTCATACTGAACAGAAGCAAACCGGTGCAGTCTCATCGCGGCAGGCAAGAGCTGTCACGCCTCGCTCAAGGAGATGCAGGAGTGCGTCTTGGAGTCCAGACTCCCAGAGGTAGCTTTGAAGCCTCTTCGACTTCACTGCCCACCAGTCCTTCCTGAGGCCCTGCCCTGTGCGTGACTGTGTCTGGCACGCTTGGGATTCCTGGAGCGTGCCAACCCCAGGATTGTGCAATGGCATGCAATGGCCATGATGTCTCAAATTTTTGGAGCTCGACCTTTTTGGATTCAAGCAGCTTCCGCACAGATTTTTGCAACTCCGAATGTGTAGGCATCTCAAGGGTCCCGTGGCTGCTTCGCCGCTTCGCCTCTTCGCTCTTGGGCCGAGGGCTGCTCCTGCACCTGTGGAGGGGGTCTGAAGCGCAGAGCTCGCACCATCAAGGCCCGCACCCCCCGCCGGGACTTTCCTGCAC